TGCACACTTTTGTCTCTCTTGCCAAGCGGTTATCCTACTAAAATCACATACGCCAAAAGGAACTTAAATTACATACTCCATGCAAAAGACACTTCTTCGCAATCCCCCCACCTAATATCAACATAATTAAACACTATACTAATAAAATTTTCCTGGCCAATTCAACATAAAAGTACATATAAAATAGTTCAACAGTTCAATCGATAAGATTATAATACACTGTCTTAAACGTGTAACATTCAATTACTATAAAGTGTTTAACTTATCTGTTCAGTAATCCACAACGTGTATTCCATAATGATCTGGCACACTTCGATTGCGTCTAAGTTTGTAACCATGCATCACATTGGCACCATCATCGTTTCTTTGAACATTCTGGCGTTCTTCAGGATTTGGCAGTTTATTACCAATTTCTTCAAAGTCACATATATTCAGAACTTTCGGTGTCTTCACCTTCTTCGTAAATCTGATCAATAGCATAGTCAATCGAAAATCGTTTTAAATTGTTCGCATGAGCAATCTTTCTTGTCTTATTGGCTAGCGACTCTATCTCACAGCTAGTATATTGAACATCCATAACTAGATACGGCCCAACGTATTTTTCGTCTAATCCTCGAGCTCTAAAGTTCTTTAAAAGTACCGTATCTCCAATGGTAAAGCTTTTGCTTCGGCATGAACGATTTTGTGAATCATAACAACGTTTCTGTTTCTTCTGGGACTATTCCATTCTTTCCATTACGATATTTCGCATGTTATTCTGTCGCTTCTTTAAATCGTCTAGGTACCTGCATGGCGGGTCCATGAGTCGATTTGGTTTCTAGTTCTTCAGGTTCTACTCCTAGAGGCAATCTGGGATCTCTTCCATACAACATTTGAAAAGGTGTTGCTCCAGTTGAAGACTGCTTGCTAACCCGATACGCTAGTAAAGCATGGGGGTAGTTGCTCATCTATATTTTCTTTAGTTTCTTTGCTTTTCTTGTCCCCAGGATTTCCAAAGCTTCTTCCTCTTTTCGTCACCCTAGTATAATTTTCTCTCCCCCGTCTCTCATCTCCTCTGTCATTGCCAGCTCCAGTGGCGGAAATTCACTTTCTCCGATGGGGGGAGCAAAGCCTTCTAAATGTCCGACAAAACTTTAAAATTTCCGACAAACCACCCCATTTACACTAAAAAAGATTTGCTTTTAGCCCTCTTTTAGGTCAAAATTTCCGAAAATTCGTCAATTTTCCGTGAAGAAGGGCGCACCCTGCCCCACCAAGATTTCCGCCACTGGCCAGCTCGTTTTTCGCGTCTTAAGTCATCTGGATTTCCAAACCCTGCCTGTTCCTATATTGTCCACTAGTGCCATGATTCAACCCTTCACCATCGCCTTGTCTGTCTCTGTTTCATTCTCTATTCTCCCGGTCATATTCCTTGTTAACCCCTTCCGTCCGCCTGTCTTCACCTTGTCTGTCCTTGTTCGGTCCCAAAACACTTTCAGAAATGATACGATTTCTTATTCGAGCCGTTTGAAATATTTCATGCTTTGCCGGAACTTCAGTATCCCCATCCAAAACGTAACAACATCTAAGGGCTCTGGCACAGTCGAGTCACGCGGACAAGGGTTTAGTAGACAAAGCAGGAAATGTTAACACCATTCTTGAAAGGTCGACGTTGACTTTATTACTCATGATCATTAGCTAGTCCAGGCCAAGAATAACCTCAGATATCATGTCACTAGCAACATAAAACTCACGGCATGATATGTGTTCAGGGCCAACTTTAAAGTGCATATCACATGAAATTTCTTATTTTCTTTAATGAAAGAACTCTTTAAGCTGTAGTGTAACTTAGTTTTCAGTTTCTTGTTTTTAAGGTTTGTTCCCGAGTTATTTCAATTGGTTTTATTGTGTAAATGAGTGTGAATATGTCCGCTAATTTATGACGTCACTTTGGTGCAAGCTCAACTTACACTGGTTATAAATGTATTAACTCTGTAAACTGTAGATATCAGTTCACGTTTTTCTCCAGTGTTTCATCACATTTACCCGTGAGTGAAGTTTGACATTATCATCTTGGATGACAGCAGTGATATTCAACCAAATTAAAGAGCTTGCAACCAAAGTGACGTCATAAATTAGCGGACATATTCACACTCATTTACATAATAAAGCAAATTGAAATAACTCAGAAACAAACCATAATAACAAGAGACTGAAAAATAAATTATACTACAGCTTATAGAGTTGTTTTATTTAAGAAATTAAAAAATTTCATGTCATATGCACTTTAACATCCAAGGCACATCACCTTGTCCTGATTTGGAAATAAAAGAGTTACGAGCTATATGTCCAGGCTTTTGATAGAGATGCAAGTGCCAAGGTAAGGCAGGCCCAGAATCCCTATCGGGGAATTGTTTGTTACCTCAGCAACGATATCAGATGGAGTCAAAGAGGCATTGTTTCCCTTTAATTATTGCCATTCATTCATGCTAACTAGTGAAATTGAAGCACCCGTATCAAAAATACAAAGCTTAGATTTCCCATTTATCTGGGCTTCAACCATGAGAGTTTTCCTTTTGCTTGCTGAGTAAATCGTTGATAACCTTATCTTAGATTGTGTTTCGTTTTTCACGTGAATTCGGTTTTGCTGGTTGTTCAAACGTTGATCTTGGCTTTGTACAGCCATCTTAGTATCATCCAATAACAGTCCGACAAAACTTGGCAATGTGACCTTCTTTGTCACAACGATAGCAAACTAGAGACTTTATTTGGGACATGCTCACCTTGACTGGTTTGCACATCACCTTGTCCTAATTTGGAAATAAAAGAGTTACGAGCTTATATGTCCAGGCTTTTGATTGAGATAACCAGGGGCGAACTGGCCGGTCGGGCTCACCAGGCAAATGCCCGGTGGGCCTCTTGCTTGTAAGGCCGTTTTGGGCCCCTTCAATGTCATTTAAATATAAGGCTAGAAGATCCAAATCATAAGCATGAAAAGCAGGAAGCACGCTTCAACCACTTTTCTCGCCCGACTAAGGGCCCCTGCGATCTTTTCTCCCTAGTATTTCTCGGTTTTATATATACCCGAAAAGATACTAAGGAATGGCCTTGGGGGGCGCCAAAACGCAAAACGGGATAAGTGGGCGTTTTCAGCTGCAGAGAAACGTGATTAACTCGAAGATATTCTCGGGTCAGTGAGCAAATTTGCAATTTATAAAGCAATATGAAGTTAGTTATATACTGAAAAAATTGATGGGGCGACACTGCATGTTAGTATCTTGCAGGGTCCGCGCAATCCTCTGCCTAAAATTTAGCTTTGAAATCTTGACAACTGGGCAACTTTTCAATTACAACACCACTTTCCAACAAACGTGAAGCTTAAATCTTCTTCAAACATTGAGATTGTTTCAATCTGCTATTGGAAAACTGAAATTATCAGCAGAGATTTTCCAACTGACCTGAATATTGTTACATGCAGTTCGCAAAGAAAGCCAAGAGTAAACGGGTTTGCTTTGATACCGATGTTCCAGTAGAAGAAAGTCTACTATCCAATCCGACAAAAATAATTCGAAAAAGGAAATTACATTTCGGAGAAAAGGATGACACTGACAACAGGGCGATGGATGCTCACGAGGACTATCAAGTGAATGTTTTGAAGTATCTAAAGTAGTTGTTATGGTAACACGATAATTTTTTAAATATGTTCTTACAAATGAAATATCACTTTTAACTAGAAAATACATGCATGCAGAAACCCTCGCCTTGCTGACAGAACCATTGTATTTTCCGAACATGAAGTTCTAAAGCAGTTGTCATGGTAACACGATAATTTTTTAAGAATACACTTACAAATGAAAAATCGCCTAAAAATATCACTTTTAATTACAAAATTATTAATTTCCCAACATATATATATATGTTAGGTATGTTATTATACGTAATATAAGCCTCAATTTAAGGTAAAATCCAACCACAAACGCTTCGCAAAACGTTTTAAAGTCACTAGTGTTCTTATAAAACTAAACTGCCTATTATTATTAAAATGGCTTTATCGATAAACTTTGAGTTTGCAATAAAATGACTTCAAATTCTCGCTTGCAAATAACTTTGCTTTCTTTTTTATTTATTTATATCATATAAAAGGGAAATCAATATTAAAGATACACTGAAATTATATGTTGTCTTGTTTAGTTGTTTCATGTACGCAAAGGCCGTCGGGTTTTAAAGCCATTATAAAATCAATATTTAAAACAAACTTACCTTCGTTAACGTCGGCTCCCGTCCTTTAGCCGATTCTTTCTGAGAGAGCTTTTGAAATTTACAAAATCTTGCAAAAATGCGAGTAAAAATGAAATATATTTGCAAGAAATTTATCAATCATCAAATCAAAAAATGTTTGCTATTTCGCTGTCGTCATGCAGTTGTGCCAGTCGTTATAATGCAAACTTTAAATTGAATCAATCAGTGTCCGCTATTCATGACAGTCCGCCATATTTTTGAGATCAGTGAGGATGACCAACCATGGTTGGTGACCCACGCCCGCGATATTTGATGAACTTTAGACTCCGCTAATGCTTTTGTTTCTCCGGGTGTAAATAGACGGGGGGAATTAGTACCCTCGCACGGCGCTTCGCGCCGTCGGCTCGGGGATAAGTGAGACCTGACTGCAGGGTATAGTTTAGTGTAGATTCTTGGACTTCACTTGGTGGAATTAATATTAGGATGTTAGGGTTTGTAATCCAAGTGAGAATATATACATTTTAAGACCTAACCAGGAACGACTGCGAAAAATGCAGCACAAGGTCCTCTGGTAGGAATTGAACCTACGGCCCTGTGATTCCGGTGCAGCGCTCTAACCAACTGAGCTACAGAGGCCAGCTGTTGAGCTGTAACCGTAAGTTCGTGTATATATAGGTAATCGGATGTGCGAGTTGTGATAAGGTAGGTTCCTTATCACAACCGGCACACCCGATTACCTATACATGTATATACACGAACTTACGGTTATAGCTCAACAGCTGGCCTCTGTAGCTTAGTTGGTTAGAGCGCTGCACCGGAATCGCAGGGCCGTAGGTTCAATTCCTACCAGAGTACCTTGTGCTGCATTTTTCGCAGTCGTTCCTTGCTGGGTCTTAAAATGTATTTATTTTTTTCAGTGAAAATGAAGCGATCTGATTGGCTGAGGAGCCTTTCAGAGCTGGCCGGTTTTTTGCATCCGGCCCGCTCTGAAACGCAACTGCCCGCTGTGAAATGCAACTGCCCGCTCTGGTTTTCGCGCCAAAAAACGAGGAGTGAAACAAATTTTAAACGAAAAAATATGCCAAAAACGTTTGAAAAACATAGCCTAACGATAGTCAAAATACGAAAATGAATTGCATTAAGCCCTAAAGACTTCATATTAAACGATGTTCACCATAAACAAATTTACGAGTTTGCAAAGAGGTTCAGAAATAAGATCAATACTGTTTTTTACTATCCACACAGGGATTTTATCATAGCCGGCAGCAGAGCCAGAACGAAGTGACCTCACTATTTTAATGATTTCGGATTCAGAAGCTGGCTCAAGAAGTATAGTCTTTGCAAAATTACCACCAATATAGGAACTGGCAGTCTTAAGTGTAGTTGGTATTTGTTTGGCTAAGTTAGGTCCAATATTAGTAAAAGAGTAACAAAAACGATTAGCTATCACCGTTGGATCAGTGATATCATGATTGTTGGATGAGAAATGTGAGGGTAACTTACTTGGACGTTTTTTCCTATTAGTCACTTCGTTTAGGATCTGCCATGTCTCTTTGATATCAGAAGTCGCACGTTTTAATTTTGTTTCGAAATATAAACGTTTAGCTATTCGGATTAAATGATTTAGTTTATTTATAAAGTCAATACAGGGTTTTTTATTTTCAAAACTCGGTTTCCTCAGATATTTCTTATAGAGTTTTTTGTTTCTTTTTATTGATGTTAAAAGGCCGTTGGTCATCCATGGTTTAGAAAAATTAGTAGAACACACTTTTTGCCTGCGCAGCGGAAAACAAGCATCAAAAATTTCAGAAAATTCATGTAGATATTTACTGTACGAATTAATTGGGTCATTCAGTCCGCAAATACCCGTCCAATCTGTATTCCTGAGTTTGCCACGAAACTTTGACACGTTATTATTGTGTTTATCGCGAATGACAACCCAGTTACCCACATCTGATGGGTTGGCTTGCTCATACGCATGTGGTGGTAAACAAAAAATCGGCAAATGATCAGAAATATCATTGAAGAACAAACCACTAAAACAGCAATTATGCAAGTTGTTTGTAAATATATTATCAATTAACGTCGCATTATAGGAAGTAATTCTTGTGGGACGTGTAATTAATGGAAAAAACATATAAGAAGACATGATATCCATGAATTCACTAGTCAGTTTATGATTTTGACAGTTCAATAAATTAAGGTTAAAATCACCCCAGGGACGTCGCGAAGCCATCAACATTGGGGGTTGTCGTCGTGTTTTTGACCAGCATTTCTAGGTTTGACCGAGTCATACCGGGGTACCACAGTGTTTGCTTGGGTGAGTGGGGAGGGAAGAGGTAAAAAAAGTTTCCGGACTAAGGGATCATTCAATATTTATGGTGGTCTGGTAAAATTCAATTAACGACTAAGCAAAATGTCCTGCCCCCCTACATCACAAAAAAGTTCAATGATCCCCTTCACATGAATTCTAAAAAATAGTACCCCCGCCCCCAATGTACATGCACATATACACATGACCAGGCATGATATCTACATTTTCTTGTGCTTTCAACAGTAAGCTTATTTAATCAGAACAAACTCTGCTAATCCTAACTTTAGACTGCCCAGAAGAATTTTGATAAAAAACTCTGACCTAAAAATTAGAATCCAGTTTCAGTGTATTTTCTACACTACAAAGTATATTTTCTGCTAAAGCACACATTATGTACTTAATACTAAGTTAAACCATGTATAAAATACCTAGTATATACTAGTCAATACAGTGTACGCCACTCAAACTCGCTGTGGACGTAATGTTGCTACAGTGCCGTACTGTAGGAAGCTCTTTTTATTGGGGGCTGAAAACGAGGGCCAAAGGCCCGAGGAAATTTTTAAATTTAGAGTCTCTGAAATGCCATTTCCTGGACTTTGGGAAAGATTTGACAAAATTTTGATGGTCAAAAAACAGCATTTTAGAATTTTAGTATGTCGAAATTTGCAATTTGTTTACAAATGAGTGGTACTAAATGGGCAAAGGCGTATGGTAATATCTTCATTCTTTGCAATTTGTCATGGATAATGTAGTACGACCCTGTACTACAATGCTAACTTGTTATCGTGAGTGTCTTTTTTATTGAAATGCACGTCAGGGAAACATGACAATATTTATGGCAAGTTCATGGCAAAAGTTATAAGGTAGATGTTCGATTGTTTTTCATTAGCTGCACGCATTGAATTTTGGGTATTTGCGCATTGCATTTTCGATCTATCAGTGTTGATTAAAATTGAGAATTTTGTTAGGTACATTAATTAAACTTGCTTCCTTGCTAGCTCTTTGCTGTAGCAATAATCGTTACATGTCAAATTTCCCCCCACTATATATAATAAAATAACTGGACTTCCCCTTCTGAACTAATATTTTTACGTCCCCCCCCTTTTTGGTCAAAAATACCACATGACCCACCTCCCTTTTTTTGCCAACCGACCCCCGGTCCCTAACATAAGCATAGTCAAAAAAATTTCCGGACTAACATAAACATACTCAAAAAATGTTCTGGTCTAACATAGCATATTCAAAATTTTTCGACCAAGATAACCAATGTTTCCAATTTTTTCACGGCAAACATAAAAAAGCTTTAAAATTGTTAAAATTGTGAACCATTTCAAAACTTTGACCTACTTCTATCATCTTTTATCGCAAACTTTGATCAAATTTTTCCGTGTTTTACTAGTCCAATTTTAAGCAAACATCAGTTTCATTTTGACTAACTTTGGGCAAATATCAATTCCATTTTGACCAACTTTAACCGTTTGAATTATTGGTGGGTGTTACCCCCCCCCCTCCCCACACACACACTCCCCCCCTATAGCGACGTCCCTGTGTAGTATAGCCTACCTTATGTTTTATGCGCTATTAATTAATGGTAATTTGGGTTGTCAGATCACTACAATACTCGATCAACAGGTTGTGACTAATTTGAATCGGAATGTTCTATATTTTCATTATACACCTAAGAGCAGTGAATTTATACCTATGTGCAATTTATTTATTTATTATATTCATTTTGAAATCAATGGTGTTTCCTGCAATGTGATTGGTTCACACGAGTGCGATTAATATTTCAGCATGAATCTAACTGCGATCAGCCAAACAATGATATTTAATCGTAGGATTCAAACAGACAATCAAATTTAACAAAAATGTGATATGGCAAATGAGCAAAAACAAAAGAATTACATATATGTCATGAATGATTTAAAATTAAGCAATTTTTTGCACATAAAAAACAAACTAATATGGATAGCTAAAGTAAAGTATCAAAGAATTGCAAATTTTCAAACTTCACAAATAGTAACAGGCAAATTAAGAACATAATCATCTATCAAATACGGTCAAAACGTCAACAAAAGCAAATTTAAATCAGGGAAAACAAAGGTAAATACGCCTTATTCGCCTATCGTATTTCTAGTTTTAAATGCACAAAACTACACCAAAACTCTTTCAAATCACTCGTAAAACCTACAATATCTTTAAACTTACTTGTGTTTGTCTCTTATTCTTTATAAATGTCCTCATTTCTTTAACAATTTAGATTTTTGAACGTATAAAATATAATAAGAGAGCTTTCTGAACACATCTGACGATATTTCCCAAAACAATCCATGCAAGGATTCAAACATCTGCCAGAAAAGTTAACCTACTTCCACCGTATGTGGTTGTAACTGCAAATCATTGGCAACAGATATCGCAGGTATTCAACTTGATATGATAATTCTACAGAACCGTGTTGAGGGAATGATTAATGTAAAGACTAACATTTCTCCAAACGAAGAAGTAATGGCGAAGCTCCAGCTTGAACTTAAACAACAACAACACAGAAATCAAATGCTTGAAGATCGTGTAAAAGCAGCTGAACAAGAGAGAGACTCGCTCCTCTTAGCTTTAAAGCTCCTTACACAAGATCAACGCCATTCCCATGAAAAACAAATTAATGCTAATGACCGGGATGACTTTCAACAACCGAATCGAGATACCCATGCAATCCCGCTTAAAAATCAATTCTCTTCTCTTGCTGTCGAGGAGACAAGTGAAAGCGTATCTGCTTCAACGACAAACCTCGAAAATCAATCTACAAGGAAGCGTGATAAAGAAGAAATTGTTCTTATTGGTGATTCAATAGTGAAACACATCGACCCTCGAAAACTTACAAAGAAAAAAGTTCATAAATTTACATACCCAGGGAAAACTGCCGAAGATATTGAAAAGGAACTTAACATTATTAATATTCAATCATCTCCCTCCCACGTAATTGTTCACGCTGGGACAAACAACATTCCGATAGACTCAACCAAAGTATGTTCGAAGAAATTAGAAAGGCTTGTTATCAAAACCAAAGCAAAATTCCCTAATTCAAAAGTTGGTTTATCTGGAATCACGTTTAGACAGGATATAGAACAAGCAACTAAAATACAGGAAGTCAACAAGAAAGTCGAAGAAATGGCTGCAAAGCACGATGTTATGTTCATTGATAACTCTTCTATTGATCACACATGTTTAAATGGGAGCAATCTACATCTTAACGGCAAAGGTTCAGCAGTCCTGGCCTCACATTTTATTACCTTTCTGAGAGGAAATCAACCCCGTGTTGTTCAACAATCAATCAAATAGGGGACATGCTGAAAGCGATACTCGTGGGGAACTCTCGCAAAATTCAACGATAAATTCACGGTGTGATTCGGACCCAGTTTCTACTTCTCATGGCCATAAGATAAGTAAAAAATCATAATTTAAAAAATTATTTAAAAAATTGTAAAGGTATTAGGATTGCATGCTTAAATGTTAATAGTCTTACAAAGCATATTGATGAGCTTCG